CTTTTTATTTACAAATATATATACAATACAATCTCACTCAATCTCTTCTATCAATCCACCTTTACCTCTACTTTTTCTCCGTCCCTTTTCCAAACATTTCTTCTCTCCCTCTAATGTCATCCTCTCCATCTCCCTTCTCTCATAGTCCGTCCACACACATCCTGCCAGACTACTCAAAACTTTGGGATTCTCCTTCACCCAAGACTGAAAAAACTCACACTTCTTTCCAGCTTGAAAATACATCCGCCTCATCTGCTCTTCTTCTTTTGGAACAGAAGCCTTTGCCTTGCTCAAAGCTGTGCGCAGCTGGGACAAAGCGGACAGTGAATATCCAACAGCACCCTCTCTGCTCCCTCCAGTCAGAATATGAGCCACCGCTTCCACAGCTCGAAGTGGAGCTAAAGGGTCCTCGCGATCAAAGTATCCTCCTGCAGATACAGCTCTTATTCCGGCGTCGAGAGCCTCAGAGACAGAGTTGAAGACCCGTCTGGCACCCAAACCATCTGAGACGGCAAGCACCACCTGACAGAACTCCAGCAACATCTCTGAGATGTTTCCATTATAGAGACACAGCGAGAAGGTGTATCCATAAAGCGCATTGATCAGGTTGTACCGCACTAGAGGAGATGGGTTTGAAGATAGTGTGTGAAGAGGAGCAATTTTGGCGCTTATTGGAGGGATTGAGCTTCTCTGTGATTTGTCCGATTTTACTTTATTGCTACTGACTTTCTTAATTTTTCTGTCTTTTTCAACATTCACATTATGCATTTTTTCATCATTCTCAGACTGAAGTTCCTCGATTAGTGCTTTAGTATCTTTCTCATGCCGTTCCCACCAGGGGCTCCACAGGACAACCAGCCCACCGATGCTACCTTCTTTCACCAGTCTCTCAAATTTCTCCTTTTCCTGGGCTGACAACAACGACCAGAGTTCTTCCTCTGAAATAGAGTCAATATCCAGGCCTGCTAACTTTTCAGCTAAATCAGCTTCCTCTTCATCACTCCCTTCTTCAATATCTCTGAGTTTTGCTAGTAGTTCTGGCACCTCGTAACTTTTTTCATCCCCACTAGATTGAATCTCTGCTAACTGAGAAAGCAGCTCCAAAGCATGTGCGTCTTTTTCGGTCACACTAGTTTCATCATCTCCCAAGTTCCTTAATAAATTCTCCATCCCTCCCTCGCTCTCTGCACTCTGTCTGAACCGGAGCAGAATTTCCTGCATCTTGCTTTTCCCCTCCTCATCTGTGACACCTTGGGATTTCAGCTCCTGCAGCACAGACTCTTTGTAAAACTCCTCTGAGCATGAAGAGTGATTCTGACTCCTGTAACAAGCCAGGCCGCAATATGGGATGTTACACCTTGGGCAAGTGTAACAGGAAGGGTTGGATAAGCAAAGCCCACATGGTTTGATTGATGATGCAGTAGTTCCACCCTCTGTCCCATTTGCAGGTGTCAGGAGAGTTTCATTAGTCCCTCTTTTGGGAAGTGCAATCCCATCTTTGGTGGTAATTGATTCAGAGTCTATTTCAGGCCAGTCGCTCAAGTGTTCTTCCTCCTTTGCTGCACTATCAGTGAGTAATAAACGAACACACGCAGGGATTTTACGTCTAACAACAGGATCCATGAGCAGCTAATTAACCAAGGTAGACTGCATTAATAGAAAAGTTCAGATCTGCAATTAAAAAGAAAAAAAGGTAATAAAGTCTAATGTTAATAAAAGTATAAATATTCACAAAAGCATAAGATTTTAAATCAATTATTACCTGACAAAGAATGTGTGTATGCGCACTTCGTTTCCGCGCACGTACAAATATATTAAAAATAGCAGATATTTTCTTCAGCTCGTGTTTTTAAATATGCTTTCATACTGAAGCGTCACGTTAGATTAACGTTGGTCGTCGCAACATGATGACGCATTCGTGCCCTTGCTCTTCAAGCGTCAAGACTGCGCAATATTTGCGCATGATAGATAGATTGATCTAATTTGTTACACTGTTTATTTAATTTTAAATTTTTCTTCTATTATTTTTATCTTTTCATTATTATGTTTCTTAACATATATTCCACTGTTTGTTTTTGTAGAAGTTGTCCTTTTTTTACTGTTTTAATACTGTATGCATAATTGTGTGATGTTTGCATTTGAACAAAAGTGCATGCATAATTTGATGCACAGATTTATATTAGGCCTTTTTTCAGACACAAGTATTACAAATAGGATTTAGTGAACACCTTACATTTATTTGTTTCAATCCTAAACAACTGGGACAACATGGAAAAATGTTGGATATAATCACATACGCTTTAATACAATAACAAAACACAGGTATTGAAAATGGTACACTAATGATAATTTACAGTTTGTCCACTTTAAGGAGGAGAGAACATTCTTATACATTTCCTCTCAGCCTTTGTATTGCAGTTCAGTTCATTAGCTGTGCCCACATCCGAATTTAAAAGCCCTTCTTCAGTAGCCAGTCCTTCAGCTCTTTATCAAACTGCCCTTTAATTCTGATGGTCCCAGTTACTTCATTGACCTGTGTTGGAGGTTCTTTGCCCGTAAGCCCCAGCAGGAATTCCTTAACATCCTTATTCAGGGCCTGGAAATAATTGACAAAAAGTTAATAAAAGAATTGGACTAATATATTACACTGTGCTTCTAAACAGTTCTGTTCATTACACTAACCCATATGTCTCCCTCAACTTTTCTGAGCAGAGTGCTGTGCTGATTCCCATGCTTGATGTCCGAATACACAGGCACATTGTGCATTCGGGAGCGACGGATCATGTAAGGCAGTGAAGGTGGCGTAACTATATAATTAATAACAAAAACAGAACTCCATGAATGAGAATCTCACATAATGCTTTCCCGACTTCACAGATTAAACATCAAGCAAAACATCCATCCCTTATAGCTAAGACACCAATAGTATGATACGCATTATTCCATGTAAAGTAAAAATACAAGTGTGTTTACCTGACGCTGGGATCCATCCTGACGGTGCAGGACCATCATGTTTAGGTGGAGTTGGGATGCGTGAAGGAGGAATAAGTCTCTCCACAAACCTGAACTCTTCTGTGGATTCAATGAAGCCCCATGATCCTTCAGCAGGGTTGCTTTCTGTCTAAAATGAAACAAACCCGTATTGTGAAAACAAGAAGGACCGTTTGTTGCTCGTAACATTTCAAGAACAAATCATCCAATGCAAATCTATACTGTGACAGCTGATGCACCACTGATTTTAATACTACCTGGATAAATTATACGGTAAAACGGATTGTAATACTAACTCTTAAGCAAGCCCCCGTACTCAATGAACGCGTGACTGAATAAGAAACCCTGTAAGCAACTCCCACAGCTCGACAGACTGTCAGAGACATGCTTCTGATGGAGGCGGCCATTTCTCTTCCCTCCGAGAGAGAGACAGGAAGGACAGCGGAAGATGACGTCATGGGTTTGAATGAAAAAACTTTATGGACAACACAGAGAAAAATGCAGAATAGTAAATTATTGAAATAATAATTTCAGATTAAAATTCTACATTTATAAAATGTTGTTTTAACTTCTATGTATCAAGAAATGTATACGTAATATTACAATACAAAAAATACTGTCCAGGGGACTTTTATATGGCTTTAATAAAATGAGCATGCGCAGGCAGGCCTAATGCTTTTTAAGACTTGATATTGACGTCGTGTGTTTGGCGTTCATACTTATCAACAGCGATTTAGGTAAGTACTTTTAATATTTAAATAATAATATTGTTTATATTGTGCTGTTTGTATTGATTTTGTCAAGCTGATTACATGTTTTAATTCTCTGTTTTATGAAGACCGAACATCATGCAGCTGTTCGTTCGTGGCCAGACTTTGCACTCTGTTCATCTGAATGGCTCAGAGACTGTTGCCCATATCAAGGTTTTTTTTTTTTTTTTTTTTGATAGCCCACATTTTTATTTATCGTTAATTTAGAAAAACTTGAATGCGAAAAGGAAATTATTTCTTTATTATTGTCATGAACTACTTGTTTTTCAGGCTCAGATCGAAGCTTTGGAGGGTCTGGCCTGTGATGAGCAGGTCATTTCTCTCTGCGGGGTTCCTCTTGAGGATGAGACAGTGATTTGTCAGTCTGGGATTGAGGAGTTCAACACTCTTGAGGTCTCATCGAGGCTGTTAGGAGGTAAAGATCAACTTTACTGCACTCTACCTGTGACTATTTATCATGCCTTTGTTGTACAAGATGGAATATCTGATGAATTACATTGTTTTAAACTTCTTTTGTGCTGAAAATAGAAGTATAAATATTCATTTTTGAGTAACTGGCTACATTATGATGCATTATCTTGGTTTGGACATTTTCATAAACATAACTTTTGGTTCCCACCTAAAGGCAAAGTCCACGGTTCCCTGGCTAGAGCAGGCAAAGTCAGAGGACAAACTCCCAAAGTGAGATACATGTCAACGACGTTCATATCACATAATATTTATTTTTTTAAATCATCATTTTGGGCATGTACTGGTTTATTGATATCGTACACTGATATTGATCGTTTCAGGTGGACAAGCAAGAGAAGAAAAAGAAAAAGACTGGCAGGGCAAAGAGAAGAATTCAGTACAATCGGCGCTTTGTAAATGTCATCCCAACGTTTGGCAAAAAGAAAGGGCCAAATGCCAACTCCTAATTTGCTCTTCAAAATGACTGTCAATGTTCAGTGAATTCTTTGGCTGACCAGTAGGACATTGCTGATGGGGGGAAAAATGTAATACAAAAGCCAGCTGATTCATGAAAACTAATTATTTTGGGCACTTTATGTGCTATAATGATTTGTAAAGTATGTCATTATTAGACACTGAATCACTTTGGTGAAAGAAAGATTTTGTAAGTTGCAAATAAAAACATTTAATGAAATACGATTGAATCATGTGTCATTACATTCTCAGTTATTTGAATTTGATAACTCTGCCAGTGTGGCTTTGATGATTCATTCAAAAGTCCATGTCAATATAGGAAGACCAAATGGAAAGTTATGCTATTCTTGTCTTCTTTCCCACTGGATCAAAGATCACCACGAGACCCCAGGCAGCCAAACCTAAGGAAAGAGTAGATCAGAGTCAGACTTCATGTCTCATAACACAGAGTGCACGAATGAGCTCACCTGCAGCAAACATCATCTGAACCACTGTGCCCATAGATGCGGGTCCACCTAGACGCATGACTTTCTGCGCTTGCATGCCCACATATCCCCCTGAAGCCAGAAGCCCCCCTCCAGAGAGGACTCGACAGCTCCAGCAGTCCCCCAGTTTTCCAGTCGCCTGCGACGTGACCGGAATCGACTTCTCCGGTAGGGGCGGTGGATTGGACATGTTCAGATTAAAGTGTCTTATCCAAGCGGATAAAAGTGCCAACGTTCCCTAGTACTGGTCTCTGTTGTTTTTAACAAGTGGCACTGCCTGTTTTCCAAATAATTTGGTAACATTATTAATGTCCATACAGAGAACTGTCCACCAACTCCATCGCTATAAGCGAATTGTGTGAGAAATATCACTGTCACAATGATCTCAAACACCGGAAGCATTTGTTGTTTTTGCACTCGTGCAAGTCATCGCTGTGCATGTTGCGCAGACGCGATTACAGATCGGCAACACTCATCATCAAGCTTATTCAAGATCGGAATGTATACTTTATTAGAAAATTGCTAAATATTAGTAAAACACACAAAACACGTTTAAAGTTTTATTTGCGATACAATCTCCATAAATATGTATATAAATAGACAAACAATTTTAACTGTGAAGCAACAATGCTTTCAAACTTCTTATCCAAGGTTGTGGTCCATTTTAGACCAGCCACAAACCAGCTACTAGCAGGTAACGACAGCTTGTTTTTTATTTTTTGGAACATGGTCCAAAACACAGCTACCATTTTAAGATTAATTTCCAGCAATGGAAACACAAGCAAAGCAAAACTGACAGAACATGCCATTCATGGCAATGTCCATCAAGTGATCAATATATGACATGGAGCATTTTCAGATCATTTATTTTTAAATACGTCACTGGCTTCATATTTCTCCTCCCCATGCATTTACAGATTGCTAGTGGCAAGTGAAAGTCTGATATCTGTGAAAACACATTCTATCATTTCTGCCCCCCGAATCCACGTGCAACATTATCATTTGTCTCAGCAGCATCCTTTAAAACTTGAAGCATGAGAGCATTTCTCTTTCTGGTCTCCTCCATTCGGACAGGGTTGGCCTCTGGCAGATTCTGAAAAAATATAGTTGAAGAGATGGATCAGGGGCATGTGGAATAAACTGCTTAGACTAGTCTTAAAAAGTTAGTCATCTAATTAATTTTCTTCAAGACTGGTCATAACTTTTTTAAAGTCAGTTACAAAAAGGTAGACTGGGTCTAATGTGAATCCAAAAAGTAAGACTGATTACCCCTTGGCTAACTGCTAGTTGGTCAAACTAGTTTGTAATACACAAACTATGTTTATGCAACTGGCCCCAGAACACAACGCTGATCAGTTGTTTACGCTAAGATATGTGCTGCAATGTAAAAGACATCATATTATTTGTTATAACATTCCTCGGCGTTGTGTGAGCCATTACGGAAAAAATAACGTGTTAGTGTAGTGATCCATGTCAACTGCATTCAATGCAACAGAACAACTAATGTAGTTCTCTCACTGCTATTAACCAAGAGGCGTAAAAATAGACTAGAGGGAGTAATCATCACAATCAGTGCGTATAAAACACGATCCCGTTTAAATTACTTAGTTAATAAGAGATCGTGTAAAACCCTGTACGTTCATTATAAAACTGAATTGTTGACAAACAATGACACGAGTCGTTAGTGCTTGTCATAGTCGTGAAAACAACGCCCCACGTTTATGCAAGTTAATCATAACAGGTTTATGTTTCTCATTTATAAAACTGCAATGCTTCAGTACCTTTAATATTTCCCTTTTCCTCTCCTCTCCAGGTGACATTACGGCCCACATTCCGTAGCCCATACCGACAAGCCCGACCACCCCGATCGAGGCCAGGAGGGTCCTCATTCTGCTCTCCGAGAGCACGTCCAACGCAATAATTATCCGCGAGGTGTAAATGATCAGCTCGCCCAGGTCGCGGGAAAAGCTAGGTCAGTAACATAGACTGTAGGTCGGTATACAACACACCGCACACTGTCACAGTTGACACGATGTAGTGGATTGTGGGAGTTCTTTATTATACAACTTTTTAACCGGTTACTGGCAGATTGGTCAGTATGATTAAGCAAACGGACAGGTGACATGTTCTTATAAGTGCTGCATATTAGCCTATAGTCGCACTTTCTTCATAACAAAGGAGGTGCTTAACTTTAAGTAAATGTTGATATTCAGCCTTATAAGAGGTCAAACTTAATATAAGAGCTGTTTTAGTTTCCAATCTTTTTCTTTTCTTTTCTGTTAACACAACAGTGAACATGTCTATATAAATAAAACTTTGAAACATTATAGCGATATAAACGTCATTAACATCTAAATTAAATAGACAACAAACGAATACATAAATAAATAATAAATAGAAAAACCATGTCAGAACGGTTAATATCATTGCCATGTTTTTCTAAATTAAGTTACAAGTAGGGGATTTATTATTATGGGATGGTTTGCAGTTATTGATACTATATTCCCATAAATTAAATAAAGATGTTTTGATCATTTAATTTTGTTTGATTTATGTATTCATTCATTCATTACAGAATGGAAAATTAATGAAAAAAGAATGGAATGATAATGGTTTGGAAAGGATCCAAATAATGTTCCTTCTTGGGTTTCACACATTTTTTTGTAATGGGTAAAGTCATCCACAACAGGATTTCTCACAAAATACTGAATGCAGCATAATATAACATGTCTGGTTAAAAGCACAATAATATTTTTTTTTCTTAATTAACAAACAATTGAATATCAATTAAATATTATGTGAAAACAAGCAGTGGTTAGGGGTTGTATGACATAAAAAATTAGTTCACCCAAAAATGAAAATTTCCTGAAAATTTACTCCCCCTCGGGCCATCCAGCATGTAGATGAGTTTGTTTCTTCATTGGAACTGATTTGGAGAAATTTTGCATTACATCACTTGCTCAGCAGTGGATCATGTGCAGTGAATGGGTGCCGTCAGAATAAGAGTCCAAAAAGCTGATAAAAACATCACAATAATCCACAAGAAATGTAAGTAATCCGCAGGCTGTGTGTTTGTAATGAACAAATTCTCTGGTCCAGTTGCTTTCTCCAGTGAAAAAGTCATCTCATCTGAATTATGAGAGAAATATGTACAGATCAAGCGCCATTAACAAGCGAAAACAGTCCTAAACAGTTCTAAACAAAATTGTCGGTGGATTTTGATGTGAGAGGGCAACAAGGGATGGATTATGGACCGGTATTTTGGCCAGAAGTGGCATTTTTAAGTTAAAAGATTTGTGATGATTACTTGTGGATTATTGTTATGTTTTAATCAGCTGTTTGGACTCTCATTCTGACGGCACCCATTCACTGCAGAGGATCCATTGGCAAGCAAGTGATGTAATGCTAAATTTCTCCAAATCTGTTCTGATGAAAAAACAAATTAATCTACAACATGGATGGCCTCCAAATTTTCAGCAAATTTTAATTATTGGATGAACAATTTCTTTAACTGTTGTATATAGTCAAGAAGGTCGAGAACTCTGACACAGGACAGGCAAAAATCTACATTTTATGCAGAGTGGATTCAGACATTTAGCTAGCTACTTTTCATGCTAGGTTATCTGTACATTAGATAATAGTTATCTAATGGTTCTCACAAAAATGCATCTAATGCTTTAAAAAAGGGTCACTGACACCAAAATGTACACTATTTGTGGAATCTGCCACGATGAGGTAAAATGGGTCAGGTATTACAGGCACAATATGTAATTTTTCGCCGCTAGAGGCCGCATATTCAAAATAAACAAAGAGACAAAGGCGTAGTTTGATGACGCCGTGACTGAGTGTGGAATCATGGGAGTTGTCATCTTCATCCCCACAGCCGATGCAATCCGACGGGACTCGTGTTCATGGATGAGCTAATGATTTATTAATGTAGTAGAATGAAGTAGGGTGAGGCTGAAAGCCGTCGAAGCGAAACGAGGCCGCTGAACGAGTGTGACACACGGCTCGAAAGCAGCGGAGCTTTTATTATGCCACAGTCGACCGCTTCCGCTCCTTCCGGTCGTGCGTATGTGTGGGGGAAAAAAGCAGCGCTGTTTTATCATACTAGATACGTTTGAAAGTTCTGTTATAATGCTACTCTGTGCGGAATAAAAAAATCTTACATATTGTGCCTTTAATCATTGACTATATAACAGATCATTACTTCAACACCAATTATGAAAGCTGCTTTTTAAAATATTAGTCATGTTCAAGGGTCAAATTAACGCATTCCAAAGCTGCACACTGGCTAAATAAGCAAGACAGTAAAAAACACAACAGAACACAAAACAGCTGAAGTTAATTATACTGTCCACCAGATGGCTCTAACATACTTTCTGGTCTAAATGTAACTTAAATAGTGTGTGTGTGTGACTCAGAGAAGGCTAGGTGGGTGTGTAGAAATCACATAAGTGCTGATATTGTGTGTCCATCCGTGTCAAGGTGCAAAATAGATAGCTGTAATGGAAGGTATACATTAGTGTCCCTTTAAGCGACATTTTCTCAGCCTGAGCACATGTAGAGCTTTGTTCATCCCTTATAAAACATTACCATGGCAACCCTAGTTTCTGCACAAACACCACAGTTGCTACAGCTAGAGTTACCTCAGTGCAACTAAAATAACCTGCTATTATCCATGACTGCCAGAAAGTAGACAAAGTCACACAATGATTCTAAAAGCCTCTTATAACGAAGAAGATGCCATATTCATTTATTATGGTTTTACAGCAAAAACACCCTGTATATCGTGGTATGAAAGTGATGCACAAAGTCAAACTGAAATGGATTGATCCAGTACATCATAGCAGTCTAAAGGGATCCCCTTGAAGAAACTAATTTGCTGATAGGTTGATGATTATTCCCTCATGTAGGAAATTTAGTTTGGCATGTTTTAGTTTAGCTGGAAAGATTACTGCGAATTTTTTTTTTTTTTTTTATATAACTATTTATTAGGGGTGTAATGGTACACAAAATTGATGGTTCATTACTTACCTCGGTTTTTAAGTCATGGTTCGGTATGTTTTCAGTACAGCAGGAAGAACAAAAAAATTTAAATGTTTTTTTTTTCTTTTTCTTTTTTAATGAAACCGTGATTAAACAAACTATGGCTCTGGTTTTAAATAAAAAATCTGGTATTAGCTGCAACCGGCTGCAAAACATTTACAACAGCATGAATAGTAGTGTTGCAGTTTATGGTGCTTCCTCTTTGGGATGCAAAATATTTTAGCAAAAACTAGATTTTAGAATTAGAATTTAGAATTATGCTCACTTGTCGGAAAATAACTTTTTTTTTCTAGATAAATTTCCTGATTTTACCCTCTCGTCACAGACACATTCAGAACCTTCAGGTAGATGTTGTGACCACACTACAGATTCCTTCACCCTTACAGTTCTGATTTCCAGACGTGCTAAAGGTTTAAACTTCTGTGATGTTCTGAAGCAGAAAGCGAGATAATTTCTTCTGGCTGCGTTATTGCTTGAATATTTAATCGTTTCCTGCCTCTCGCACCCCCCACACCCCCTCCAAATCACTCAGTCCATAATGACACCTCTCACGCCAACCCCCTGGCTGCCTTTCCTCTCTGATTGCTACAGTAACGCTTGCAGATGCCTGCTCCTGTTGCCATGACACCCGTTTTTTCCCGAAGGTGCGCCACTGATCATTGAAGGAAATATTCATGTGCGTGTCTGTGTGTATGTAGACTGTGTGCAGTTTGCCTTCGATTTGCAGCTGTATATGCGTGATTATGGGTGTGCTTGTGCATTTTAAGAGGTAGTGCGCCCTGGTCTGCTCTATTCTATATATTTTTTTATTTATAAAGTGCTTTCATAATGTTCTCGACAGCGTTTAATACCCCTCAACACCTGTGTGGTCCTGTGTGATATTTCACAGCAGCGTGTCCAGTATGAATGCTAATCATGGCTCTGATGGCGTTGGGAACTAGAGCCCACTGTCAGTCCTCAGCGGAATTTCAAACACTAATTCACACTTACAATTTGCGTATGTGTTGTTGTACATAAATAATCGGTGGGAAGGGGAAACGTGTGAGCGTGTGTGTGTTTGGATACCTGAATGTCTGTACTTCCCAAATGCAGAGAATGTCAGTTATAATCGCATTATTAGTAAAACAAGTGAATACGTGCATAAACTTCTGCTTTATGCAAAACTGACCTTTCCATCTTGAGCTTAAACAGGAACATTGAGTGCTGTTTATAGTCTATTTATTCTGAGTAGCCTATACACCAAAACATAAATTAAAGCTAATGAATTAAGTGGGGGTTTTTTTTGGTTTTTTTTTCAGTAGGGTTCGGTAAAGAATGGCAAAAGGCTTTCTGGGATACTCGATTATGATTGGTCAATCACACGTTTGCTGTCAAAATAAAAATGTATTTATTTACTTTTTATTTTTTACATAATAATTGATTAATAGTTGTTTTTGTACTTACTAATGTGTTAATTAATCCAATTAATTTTAAAATAATTACTTAAATATTTTAATTTAGACTATTTATTCCTTTATTTATTAATTTGAAATCCTCCTTGGTGTACCTTTAAGGACTTACTTGTAAATGTAAGCTTGCTTATTTTTGCCATTGCCAAAAAAGAAAAAATAAGATAAATAAAATGAAATAAGTATATAGTATGAACTATATAAAACATGCTAATAAATTGAAAGTGTTGCAGGTAAGCAAAGCAGTATGTTTCTGAAAGTAACTTTGCATGGTGGTGCTTTATTGAAAGTTAAACAGCTTATGGAATAAATGATTCTGATTGGTCAACCACAGGTCTGCCATTAAATAATTTTGCACAATGACCGCTAAATAAATGGTAATAAAAGGCTAATGGTAGTTCCATGTGTCTTGTATCACTATACACTGTAATTTTAATTAATTATTGAAAAACTATTTTAATGTATTTATTCATTTAATGTACTTTTTTGTATTTTGAATACAATATGGTTTTCAAGGTCTTACATGTAATTTCCTATGATGCCATTTATTTTTGTAAAACAAAAAAAGTCTCTCATGCGTGCTATATACACTGTGTGTGTTTGTGTGTGTGTGTGTGTGTGTGTGGATGGATGTATTATCACATAATGTATTCTACCTGTTCACTAAGTCCTATTTGTGCTGATGAAAATAATCTCAGGTGACTTTTTGTCTAGTGTCCAAAGCATCTCTAAACTATCTTTATTCTCTCAACCCCATTATCATTCTAACTTTTAGTTCTCACCCACTGTTCTAATTTGATGTTCTTTTTACCCTAACTTTAAACCTCATCTTAATTCTGATAAGGTTCACCCGTACTGAGATTTGCGCCGATGCATAATTCATGTCTCCCACTGTCCTTCTTAATGTTCTGTCAGTCATTTCATCATATTGTGGAAATGACTCTTCCAATTTTAGGGAGATGTTCTCATGCATTCAACAGCACCGACAGGCTTTCTAGACATCAGACCAAATTATGCCATTTGCTGTTGATTCATCATTGACAAAAGGCATCTTACGTGGTATAAAGAATTAAATTGCTGATCCTACAACATTTCATTTCCTTCAGATGGAAAACCTTGGTGATTTGAAAAGCAGCTCTTCAAAAAGAGAACCATTTCTATACAAGTGTAGCTGTCTCAGTCTCTCTCTGTGTGTGTGTGTGTGTGTGTGTGTGTGTGTGTCTATATGTACCAGCAGCATGTCTGTGGCTCACTCATATTTCAAACTTATCAATTGTAACCAGTTTCCATAGCAACATCTCTCAAGAGGTGAATAGAGAGTGAGAGAAAGAGCAGACAGAGAAATAGACTTTGGCAATGGAGTGTGTGTGAATTACATGCATGTTTCTGCATGCGTTGCACATTAACTACACTCTGCTGCTCTTTGATAAAATTTAAATTTTTATGTTATTTATTTATCTGTGCTCTGTTCTATTTTCCTGCTCCATTTTCATACCAAATTGCTTTTCAAAGCTTTGGCAAATGTTTCAGCTGTGCGGCCATGCACAGAAAACCTATTTTGGACAGGCTTTTTGGTTTTGATTTTCAGCCAGCGAGAGAGAGAGAGAGAGAGCGACATCCTAACATAAAATGCATTTCATTCTTTTTGTGTCTCCATGGCAACCAAACTGTGTTAGCCTCTTATTGACTCCAGTGCACTCACACTTTCTCTGTCTCTCCTTTTCATTATCAGTCTTTCACATTTACTTTTGCTTGAGACTTGCAAGAATGTGCTCAAATTCTTTATAAACTTTCTCTTGGCCTTCATCATTTGCCTCGATCTTTTTTCTTCTTATCGTAGTTTCATCCCTTTTCAATTTACTTATTTCTTTTTTGGTGGAATTCAATTACCACCTTTTGCAGACCAGCTTATTTTTAATAAAAATACCCTTTCTCATTTCAACATTTGTAAAGATTGCAACATGTTGTAGTTGACCAAGTTATACTAGCACTCAAAAGTTTGGGGTTGGTAAGATTTTTAAATGTTTTTGAACGCAGTCTCGTATGCTCACCAAGGCTGCATTTATTTGACAGTAATACTGTGAAATATAACAAATTAAAACAACTGTTATATATTTAAAAATGTATTCCTTTTATGGCAAAGCTACATTTTCAGCATCATTACTCCAGTCTTCAGTGTCACATCATGATCCTTCAGAAATGTTTCTAATACGCTAATTTGCTGCTAAAAAAAAAATTTCTTACTATTATCAATGTTGAAAATAGTTGTGCTGCCTAATATTTTTGTAAAAAATTGTCTTACATTTTTCGGTATTCTTTGATGAATAGAACAGCATCAAAATAGCAGCATTTCTTGAAATTATTATTATTATTTTTGTAAAACTTAAAACTATAAAAGTCTTATGTCACTTTTGATTAATTTATTGCATCCTTGCTGAATAAAAGGTTAAAAAAAACCTACAGACCCTTACATATATTTAAATGCAAATCAACAAACAAACTTTTTTTGGCAACATTATTTTATTAGAACATGTGTAATTGCTTTTCGAGTATTTAAGATATTTGGTTGTATTCAACTGAATACAGACCACAAAGTTACCAAAGGTGCTGTAGCGTACATTAATGAATCATGTATAAAAGGCATAATCATGCAGGTATTCTTAAATGTAGATACTGCATGTGAACTAATATTAATCACAAAAAGACATTCAGTGATGACGTCTATAATGAAGACCCAGTCGGTTGTCTCTCGGCCCACATTCCTGTGCTAATAGTGATTGTCCAGGGTAGGCCTATATATTCACATTTTTTAGGGTACATCAAGTCAAAGCCAAGATGCAAAGAAGACCCAGGAGTTCAAACCAGATAGGCTGTGTTGCTAAAAAAGCACTCAGATGTGTTGTTATTAAATTGCTCGCTTGTTGCACTGAAATTTTAAGTGTAATACAAAGCCGTTCTAGCTAGTGCACCAGCAGCTCAGGAGAGATATGCTCGACCACTCTGTTCATCTACAAAGCTAGAACTACACACAGCTTAGTTAAATAATCATTAATCTACTTGTTTAGCAGACTGATGGACACAGCACAACACAGTAACTCCAGGTGAGGCAAATTGAGAGGCCCTATGATACACAGAACAGAGTGGCATTAAATGTTGTATATAGCCTTGACAACACAGAAGATTGCCTGAAAAGTTTGTATTTGATGTGAGACCGCCATCCTTGTCATGTCCAACATCATCAGTCTGTTGTCCAAAGCATCATCGGCGAACGTTTCCGACACCATCATCTGCATCACGGCCTGCTGTGTTCGGCTGTCTCTCGCACGTCAGCCCACTCAACGCAAATGAGTCTTCCTCTGTTGTTTGCTACAGTTCATCTGTTGGCATTCCAAAAGTGCTTTTATGATTTGTCACAGTCTATCGAGTATTTGAACTCCGGCAGAGGTTGGGGTCAGATCTCTCTTCCCTCTGGTACGGCCCGTCCTGCATGCCTGTCTCAATTAAGAGTCTGCCGCTCTGCTTGACCGCTCATCCTCACCGCAGCCACCATGATGGATGAACCCGGAACATGGGGTGTCGGTACTCAGATGTGATGCTGCTCAAACAGTTTCTCCGGTTTGTGATACTTATCTCATTGGTTGATTTGCTTTGAAATGTCTTTGTAAACGTCACCATCAAATTTGACGTAAAAATATACTTCTTGTGCGGTTGTTTAAGGACACTAATAGAACTACCCTGACCGAACTGCAACAACTGAGCCATATATTCATAATTGAATCAATTATTATATTGTACCTCTACATACAGGGTACATTTATCTACCACAAATACTGAAATAGCAAATACTTAGCAGTTATTAAATACTTTGACATAAGTTATCTGAAGAAAAATACGTTGCAACAAAGTCCACGGTCTATTGATGTAAAATTCAAGGTAACGTTCTGTAATGGCCTCAGTGTAGACACTTCATAGACACTAAGAACTGCTATGAGCAGCAGAAATTTTCAGCAGCCCTTGAGAAATGAAATGGTGTTACAAAACTTCTACACTGCCTGAGCCTTTTGTTCACCATATTTCTCTCTGTCTAATGCACTCATTTTCTTTTGGTCCACCTCTCCACTTGTTTTTTTAATGGCAGTGATTGAGGCAGCTTTACATCGATGGCTTTAAATGCCTCCTTGTCTTGAGCTTTTTCTACATCTGTCCATCATCCATCCCCACCCAGGAGATCTGAGGAGGAGCTGAACAAGGTTTGTGGATGAGGGAGAGGAGAGCGCGACATAGTTCGGTCTTTATTCTGTCGTTTTTCTCCTTTCTTTCGTAATCGTCTGTCCTTCATTTGATCACTTAGAAGCTGACCAAAGCATACACCATACTGCAAAAGAGACAGAGAGAGAGAAATTAATTAAGATAGATATACTAAACAAACTTTCACCATCTACTTCAAATTAAGAAAGACATTCTGAGAAAAAGTCAGTGTTCAGTGTCACTTGATCCTTCAGAAATCATTCTAATATGCTGATTTTGTGCTCAAGAAACATTTCTTATTATGTGCCGCTGAATTTTTTTGTTTCTTTCATTTCTTATTTTACATTTCTTTTGTAGAAGTTTGAGAAGCCCATTGTTCCTCTCAGATGATGAAGTAGGTAATAAGTAGGTAAGTAATGCCATCAATAAAATCCAAACATAAGATCATGTCTAAATGGGTAGATGATACATGAATGAGGAGGGTTTACCTGTACAGATAGTAGAAAAAGGACAGAAGATAGAAGCCTAGCTTGCACCAGGACTCCTTTTGGCAGTAATTCAGAATGTCTGCATTCATCACACTCACTGGATCATACATAACCTCAGACCCATCTGCAGGACGGTGGAAAAACCTGAGGGAGAAAAAAAGAGAGAGGGGGAATTGCTATAGAGACCCATTTTGAAATTTCAATAAAGTAGATGTGAGGGAAAGTTTGTACCTCCAGAGGTGATAGAGGAGCAGGGGGATGTTAAGGCCCAGAGTTACCCACTCTCCTGCACACATGAACATCAGACAGAACAGCCCGTGGATGGAATACTCTGGAACCACCAGCTGGGGGAAAAAACAGAGTTAGGGATAGTTTCAAGTACTCGTCATGTTTGTAAGCATGAATTCAGATATTCGTCATAAGTATCTTTTGCCCATTCAATTCTGACTCTTAATGTGTGTGTGAAAAATGGAATACATGAGTGTGCCTCCAAGTACAGAGCAATAAAAGCAAAGGGGGGCGAGAAATGAAAAGAGGTAGAATGTTAGCACTTTCAGGAAGAAAGGAAGTAGATAATTTTGTGGTTCTTTGGGAGATACAGAATGTTTCAACACCAGGGTTTCAATCAGGGGTCCGGTGACCGATATTCTGGGGTTTATGGGAAGATATTTAAAACTGCATTGTCATGACATTTCTAGCTATTAAAGTATGGATGCATGACACACTAAGTTTGGGGTCACCAAGATGTTTTTTTTAAAGGGGTCATATGATGTTGCTAAAAAGAACATTATTTTGTGTATTTGGTGTAATGAAATGTGTTTATGCAGTTTAAGGTTAAAAAAACATTGTTTTCCACATACTGTACATTATTGTTTCTCCTCTATGCCTGGCCTTTCTGAAACGTGTCGATTTTTACAAAGCTTATTGGTCTGAAAAGCAAAACACATTTTCCACATACTGTACATTATTGTTTCTCCTCTATGCCCGGCCTTTCTGAAACGTGTCGATTTTTACAAAGCTTATTGGTCTGAAAAGCAAGGTGTGCTCTGATTGGCCAGCTTTCCAGAGCGTTGTGATTGGCCGAATACCTCAAGCGTGTGACGGAAATGTTACGCCCCTTACGATACTGTGATGCCGTGTCCCGGCCGGAGCGACGAGACAAAAACATTAAAACCCATTACAAACGAGTCATTTCTTGCATCCAGTGGGGACATAATTACGGATTATAATGACTTATACTGTCTTTTTACGCGTTGCGTTGCATCGCGCCGTGTAAACATAAAACCATGTCTGCATTTGTGATCGGAGAAATTACAAACTACAAACGCTACTCTACACTGCCCAAAACTCGCGTTTGAATCATCAGTGGCAAATCCTTTAAATATGAAAACTTACTTACAGACTGTGATTGTACAGCCGGCATTGTAGTCTCTGCCAGGAAACAGTCCTCCATAAAATGCGCTGCACACATCTGAATATTTGGGTTGAACTGTTCTGGAACAGTGTTGTAAATACAACTTAACCACTGATTTCTAGTCGTGTCCTCTTTTGGAAGGCCAAACAAAGTAGTTTCGCTTTCACAACGAATCACACAGCGTCTTCACAACATGGCGGCCGCGGCAACAACAATACTACAGCGAGAATAAAAGTTATGCCTTCTTTCTTTGCATGAACATTTGGGCGGCGTTATGCAAATCTTCCCACATCGTGACGTAGACATGTGGGGGCGTGTTAGAATGAGCCGTTTTAGGTAGGCGTGGTTGACTCTGAACTTTTATAAAGAATATCTCTTTGGATTTGAGACTTTAGTCTTTGCAACTTTACAGATCTTCTTTATGCACCAAGAGCTTGTATCACTTCAAAGAGAAAGGAAAAATTTAAATCGCATCATATGACCCCTTTAAAGAAGTCTCTTACTCTCATCAAGGCTTCTATCTTGTTTTTCAGTGTCACATGATCCTTCAGAAATCATTCTAACATGCTGATTTGCTGCTCAAGAAACATTATTTTTGTGGAAACCGTGATACATTTTTTCCAGGATTCTAGAAAGCTGATCAACTGAATGCATCCTTGCTTAATAAAAGTATATTAGTAGAAAAATATTTCCACTGACCCCAAGCGTTTGAATGATAGTGTACATCAGTGCTTTATTAATTATCAGCTGATATTAGACATTTTATAATTTATTTGAATATCAATTTTTTATACTGTGTAGTGTGTATTATAATGTTGTGATGCATAAATGCACCTGCAGCATTTAAAAAATATATATTTTAATTTTTTTTGTTTTATTTTATTTTATAATTTTTTTTGCCAAATAAGGGTATCAGCAATTGTATCACAATTGTACAATCAATGCATCTCTATTAGCTGTTTTAAGGGGTTCTCTTGCATGTCCTCCCCACTTTATATATGCTTGCACTCGACTTGATCTGCCAGAATTTCACTCACCCTTCGGAGGAGGTTGCAGATTCTTTCGATGTTCAATATTCTTTCCCTCTGAGGAAAAACAGAAGAACGCAATCAAATTTTTAACAGCACGCTCTGACTGTTTTGTAAGCGTGCGGCATGGATGCATGTTTCTGCGTGTGTTCACATATGTGCATGTATGCCGTCTCAGTGTCTCTGAAACCTGCTGTTCACAGTTGGGAGAGTGATGCCGAGTAGTTTGTGCTGTGTGAAAGGAATCGTGATCTAAGAAAAGCCTTACCGCTCTGGTGGGGTTGCTCTGATCGATGGGATTTTTGAAGTCTGTGCGCAGCTCATCAAAAGCAATAATCTTGAGAAGAGACAAACAGAATTCATGTTACATGAGCATTTAAACAAAACCATTGGAGATTTTGGAGGTTAGAGACGATGTAGGATGATTGTACCATCTGTGGCCCTTTTTATCTTTAACTTTTCACATTCACTAGCCATTCCTACAGCTTCAAGCTATGTTCTCCCCTCCTTCCTTTTCCCCTTATAGATCCATATCTCCTGCCATCCCCTCACTTCGTTCTCTGTAAACAGATGCAGTTGCCATGGTGATCGAATGAGCCCCTAAGCAGGCATCATGGTTGCTATAGAAGTGAGTTCACATTCTTATTGGCTGAGAGCCATACAAAGATAGGGGGAGAAGGAGAGGAAAGGGGGATGGGGTGTCAGAACCAAATTACGGTTTGATAAGCATTCTCAATAACATGGTTTCTCGCCGGCATGCTCTCATACGCAGACTCTCAGCCTCCCCCACTCTCTGTCTCCATACTCTCTCCATCTCTCACATACATTTACACACACACTCAAACCAAATTACTCATGTTTAGAATCTCTCCCACTCCTGTCATTAGTCAATGCTCAGTCATTTCAAGTCTGTTTCTTAATGGCCTTTTGAACGTCTTACATGTAAGGTCTGCAGTCTAATGCCGATCTGAAAATATCCCTGACTTCTGGTTTGGCATTTAGGGCTTGTGTAACCTCTGCTCTCTAGTGTTTTAGTGTTTCAGACAGATTTTAACAGTTCAGGGCCATTGTGTTTGTCTGCTGTTGCCTTTTGCGAGAATGCCGCCTCTAGTATGAAGAATACAGATGATGTTGAAGTCTCTGGCGGCGACTGTGCAAATTTCATTTGTGATTCTACAGACAGTGGGCTTGCCCAGAACAACCAGTAGAGTTCAAATGAGCTGTTGACCTCTTCCTCTTCAGCGGTCTCTCTCTCTGTGTTTGTGTGCATTGGTGAATCTCACTAAAACATATCTAAGTCACATTACACCTCAAAATGAAAAGAAGAAAAAGAAGAAATTATATATTTTTTTAAATAAAATGAATTAATATTAATATTTTTGAACCCACAACCAGAGGATAAGCAGTTTGGAGAGTAGATGGATGGCTAATATTTTTGAAATATACATTATTGTTGAATTATATATATTAATATTATTGTAACAATTTTCATGACATTTTCCCCTAGAATTTTCCTTGTCGTAAAGCATCTAGACGTTATTTTTTGTGTGTTTTTTAAATTCCTATTATTTTCAATGTTGATTCTCATTATATTGTCATTATTGAAATAGTTTTTTTTACTCAATTACTGTAATCGAACGTTTTGTAAAATTAAAACTTCCAAAGTTAAAGGCAGTACAACAAATACTACCATGATGTACAATGACGTATAAATACATTTTTAAAGCACATATTTTTTTTATATATATTATATATAAATTATTATATATATTTATACAGTATGGAAAATTTATTTGCTTAATTGCTAAATGAAACTAAATATGTGATTTAAAAGTAATGTGCTTAATATCTCAAATAATGGTCCTAAAAATATCCTTCATTTACAAAGTAAAATATAATTTCTTAATTTTTTTTCCAGGTGTAATCATTCTTAAGGTTTTGTGAGATTCACATTTACATTATTGACTGTATGTATGTGTGCGTTTGTGTGCAGACTGTGCACATACACACAGGTAGGCTCCCGCCTCTTTCCTTCTGTATCCATCTACTTGTTCTGTAAATCATCAATCATCCATGACTCAGAATGTCTGCACTATTAATAACTGCCGCGATTTGTATTCACCTCAAGGATAAGGCCTCTTGTTAAGGGCAGGGGAGACAGCTTGGACAGACACACACCAGTCTCTGCACTCAAAAAATTGGCACGAACACCCACACGCATACACACACACATTCACACTCACACAGTCAGACACTTGGCAATGGCATGGATTCCGATGCCAATTGAAATGGAAGTGTGACAGTGTTACAGGTAACAGGAACTCGTACAAATTCACATTCACTCAGTAAGGTCTAAAACTACAGACGTACCTGCCAGATGACGAAGAAGATGAGGGCAGCGCACAACACGAGTGTTAACATGTAGCAAAAGGCCGCAAAGGTGAAAGCCATGGCTGTGCCAGCCAGCCTGACGGTGATCTGGGTCGAGAGAGGGCGAGGGGGAGTTTTCCCCTGCTCTCTCTCTCTGTCTCTCTTTACACTCTCACCCCCTTCAAGGAAGTTACAAAGCACTTCCCTCTTCTTCTGTCTCTCCTCTTAAAGCTTGCGGTCCAGCTTAGGATGAAGTCGGGATAGAATTAGAGAGGAATCCTCTTGGTCTGGAGCTGCAGATATGAGGCGTCTGGCTGGTTATCCGCCTCCGCTGGCTGGAGCGTCTTGTAACGTGTGGCTGGACAGTGTGTATTTGTGTGTAATTCTTCCTCTCTGTCCACCCAAGATAACTGCTAGAGCTGTTTCCTCTTTTCAGTCTCTCTGCCGTCTCCCCTGTTCCTTCACTTGCTCTCCTTCTCCCTCTCTGTCTTTCTCTCTGATTGGCAGAAGGGGGTTTGTATGTATGTGGAGAATCGCTCCCCTCCCCCGGCTCTAAGATTAGTCCTGCACACTGGGTTCACACACCTTATTTACAGCAGAACACCTTAAAAAATATCTTGTGGGCACATCAGAGGATGAATGTCCTCGGTATACATTCTGAAAAACAGACATTGATTCGAGTTACACTCTTAAAAATAAAGCTTCCAAATGGGAGTTTTTGCAGTGATGCCATAGCAGAACCATTTTTGGTTCCCCAGCGAACGTTTCAGTGAACAGTTCTTAAAAGAAACATTTTTTTGAAAGTGTGAAGAATATTTTAATAATCTGTATTATAAAAAGCCTTTGTGCAATGGAAAAGTTCATAGATGTTAAAGGTTCTGCATGAAACCATTGATGCCAATGAAGAAACTTTATTTTTAAGAGTGTCTAAAGTAATGGATGAATGTGTTTGGCCCTAACTAGATGAATGATTGTTGAACAGTAATTACAATTAGACACATTTTAACTGCCATAGTGTTGTCATTTTAAACAATAACTGGACACATTTGTAGATCTAATCGACAGGTCTTGATCCATATCCTCTCTTAGAATGAAAAATAATTGATCAGTTTTAAGTGCTGATAATTTGGTATTATGGATAATAACATGAACACATTAATGACAATGTAATCTTAATAAAAATGAAAAATGACTCCTTTAGATGGAATTTGTGGCTTCAAAATGAGTCATTGAGACTGTAAGTGTAAACAAAAAAAAAATTATTTTATTTTTAGAAAAAAAATCTTTGTTTGAGTAGCTTGCTTAGTACGGATTTGTAGCAAAAAAAAAAAAATGTTTACGATTATATATTGAACTTATTATCCAGAGAAATCTATACAAGGCTTTGCAGACATGTGCATTTCCAAGACACTATTGCATTTATTTAAAAATTTTACTGGTGGATTTGGCTAATGCAAAAAAAAAAAAAAAAGTAAAATGTGCCAATTTTTGCATTTGCAGCTGTGCATGAATCCATAACAAAATTGTAATGGTGTTCAATCCTTCTAAACAGTGAAAACATGAATAAACAAAGACGTTCAAAATGACCGTGAAGAATGGTTAAATAAGTTAGCTGTGGTACATGACAGAATGAAAGAACAAGAGCATTTACCTGTGTTTTCTGAAGCAGCGGCGCAAGTCTGTCTATGTCTGTCCTCTCTTCCCTCAGTTTCCTCTCATCAATCTGGGTCGACACCATGTCAGAAATCTCTGGTCTGCTTTGCTCTAGGTGTCAGTGTCGGTCCCATCACAGCCTCTCATTGGCTGCTGGGTGCTCTGCGACCAGGTATGAAACAGCAGAAAGAAGCAAAACATGCATGAATGTGCTGGCCATATTTTTCTGTTTTATCTCATGCTTTTGATCCCACGCAGCTTTCTGAAGTCTGACACTTAATTAACTTAGCGTTCTTCTATTTTCCCCCCTCCATTTGCCTTACCCATTTATCCTCCGCTCTCTCTCGCTCTCATTCCTTCTCTGCCATTCTCAGTTTTTTACGAATTCAAGCATTCCCTGTTGGTATTTGATCTCAAAAGCAGAACCAATGGAAAAGCCCTTCTCTCTCATCCACATCTCTTTGATTAGAATTAAAATGTGATGTTATATTACCTCTGATCGCAGTGCTCAACTACATTCAACAGTCTTCCCTTCCTCCGTCCCTCTATTTTCTGCCCTACTCTCTCATTCCCTGGAGAGATATGAGGGGGCAGAGGAAGCTTTTCTTCTTTGGCTTCCCTTGTTTGTCTCTCACTCTCTCTCTCTCTCTCCCTCCCTCTTTTATTTTCTTACTGTCTCTCTCTCATACAATGTTACCTTCTTGATGAAAGTACGTCTCTGTCACTGCAGGAGAGATGAAGTAAGGTTTGATTCTATCTTTTTCTTTTTAGTCAAATCTGCAGTCATGTCTTCAAAGATCATGAGTAGAAGAGAGTTATTTTTTTCATTCACAATCTGATTTTTCATTTTTTTCACTCTAAAAATTCTGTGAAATTCCATGATTTTATGATAAATAATAATAAAAATAATAATAGATTAAAAAGATAAAAACTTGTTAGTGTACAAATATCTCCAGTAAGACAAAAATGTAGTATTTAGAGTTTAACATAAATTATGCTTATTCACATTTCAAAACATTTTTTAAAAATTCCATTATGTGTTCCATTATATTATTTTTTATAATTATTATATTGTATTCATAATATTATTAATTATAATAATTATTATAATAGGCTATATTAGCTAACACTATTTTACAGTGTTCTTGTTACATATTACATGTACTTACAATAATAATAACAGTAAAGTATGCGTAATTACAAGAAACTAACCTAATTCTTCTTCTACTACTAATTATTTACAGTTTTTCCATAGCTGTAGAAAACCTGCATATAAAAAAGGTTCATATAATATCACACCTTTGAATATGTCTGGGTTTCCTGCCACCTCATTTAGATATAGTGTCAAATCCATTTTCAATGAATACTCCCTGGGGAACTTCTTTTCTTCTCTCATTAGCTATGTTTTCAAATCATCCCCACAATGTCTCCATCTTTGTTTATAGTGTTCTTTAAAGCATGGGAAATATTGAAACTTGATTGACATGCTCCCCAGGGAGAAGAGACTGAATCATTCCAACAGTAAGGCTTCTAATTTGCTTTTATTGCTTACATTACTGCAGCAATATAGGCAGCATTCTCTGTTTTTCAGAAAGACTGACAAATATCCTAAAGCACATACAACACCTTTGACAGATTTTTCCAGTATGCTATGTGGGTGCTCTTCTAATGGAGTCCAAGAGTACCATCTGGTGGATTCTTTCATACTCTGAAAGCCTCCTCTCTTTACTGTCCTTCATGAAATGCTATTTTAGGGCAGCCGCAACTGATTTCGGTTACTTAAGTGCTGATATGTGTTTTAGATTTAAAAAAAAAAATTATATTCAATCTGTTACAAAATAAATAAAGGAGTGTCTGTGGAAACTTTTTGAAAACAATCATTATTTTTGCAGTTCCATTTGGTGCAGCTAGTGTTGCTAATTCCTTATAGCTGTGGTTTTTAACCAGGGGGCCCCAGCACACTTCCAAGGAGATGACTAAAAATTATTAAAATAAAACAAAACAAGATTTAAAATAAGATAATCAAGATATAAGCTGAAATCATTCTTATTTTAATTTTTCCCTTAACGACTGACATTTTTATTTAAGAACCAGGGTTCACATGATTTCGGATGACTTTTAAAAGTGTTATTTCTAGATTTAGAAAAGTCATATAAATGGGGGGGGTATTTATTGGGTAGAAATTGCTATTAGTTAAAAAAAATTAAAACCCATGTAATTACAAAGTAGAAATGTTATGTAAATTAATTGGTAATAAAAAGTGTTCAAAACATATCAAAAAGAATATTCAGTTATTGGGATGATGGAATTTAATTTTTAAATTATTATTTCATTATTAATAATTTTATTTTAATTGTTTTAATATATAGTCACACCTATCTGTAAATTAGCAGCCATGTCTTTATAGCAGAATTAACTGAAATAAAGGGAGACTTCACAAAAAATAAAACAAAAATTAATCAATTAATTAATTAATTTTAAAAAGAAGCTACTCACCTTCATGTTGTTATAAAACCTGTCTGGCTTACTTTCTTCCATGGAAGACATCCCTAACATTCTGCCTAGTGCCTAGAAAGTCCCTTTCTTTGCTAATATCTAATATCTTTTGTGTTTAAGTGAAAAAAGTGAAAATTATAGGATAAACACTACATATCGAGATAGTTTATAATACTTTCATCCAACTGTAGTAAATGTAATCGCATGACAACATGCTGAAACTCGCACTGATGTTTAGCGTCAGTAAACCCAGTCTTAGTGGGGGACGGAACCAAAAGTCCTTAGGTTGCGCGTTACACCCGGACGTAGTTGTGTGCGACAGTAACGTGGAGATCTGTTTTTATTAAGTCAGTAACTCCAAAATCACTCGTTTTCTGTCAAATGGCTGCTAAAAGCCAAATATGCTCAATATGGCTTGGATCCGAGACAGGAATATTAAAAGGTAAAGGGATTTCCGTCTCTTTGTCGACATATTGTACTTTTTATGACTGGATAGCTAGCCATGTATGGTACACGTGAGTACCACATATCTGCCATTTAATTTTCTTGAGGGCCACTGAACTGATGATTTGTTATTATCCATATTTCATCTCAAGGGGTAGGTTTAACCAAAAAGCAGGCGTTTAACTTTTGTGAGATGAGCTGCATGAGTCGGGATCAGGAGGTTTGTGTGATGGCATGGGGAGACCCTCACGAATCAGAGGTGAGAAAGAGAGAACTGGAGTAGCAGACTTCATCACCATGATTTAGTGGCTGACAGACGCTGTCTATGTGTGTATGTCGTTGCAGGTGTTAGTGGGCAGTGTGAATGGCACTGTGAAAACTTTCAGCACAGATAAGGGAATCTTCACAGCGACCAGAGAGTGTGGAGATCCTTCACAGGGCAGGTTCACAGGACTGGCTGTCACTGACAGGTGGTTGCCAATATCATGTTATGCTCGTCTCTGCAGGGGCTAATGAATTACTGGATGTTTTGTTGGTTTGCTTTGATGTACTGTAGGAATGAAGTACTTTCTTTCCTTCTTTTCCAGTTCTATGATTACATGTGTGGAGTCAGGATTGCTGAAGGTGTGGAAGGAAGGAAGTACAGAAACCGTAAGTCAGTGGGATTTCAGTGTCCTGCAGTGTGGTGTGCTATATTTGATTTTAAGATTTTTTTTTATTCCAATTTCTTTTATAATTGTTATACATGCACTTGTATGGTCTTATGTTAATAAAAGAAATGCTACTTGAAATGTTTGTACTTTTAAAAATGTATCCGTCACACTGCAGGACTATTTACTAAACATAAAATGTTAAAAATGCTGAAAAAATTAAAACTAACATTAATCTTTTAATGTTCTAAAGCAGATTCAGGGTGAATTTCAGGATCAAAAAGTAAAAAATAAAAATAAAAAATACAACATTAGTAGTGTGTATATATATAGACAATTATATTCATCACTTGATTTGTTTGCATGTTACTGTGATAAAGTAGATAGAGTAGACATTAGGTTGCCTTTCAGTACAGTACATTAAAAGGGATTTTGTCCCCATAATATAAACCCAGAAACAGCTCAATATCACATAAAAGCAAAATTATATAAAATGTCATTTATCACTGCATTTTAATTATGATGATCTTCAGAAATGAACCAGTCAAAAGCGGTTTCTGTATATATTTTTTTGTATGTAGCGCCTCCGTATATTTTTGCATGTATATTTGTTCATTTTTATTTACTTATTGTTGGTCAGATGAGGGGTCTGACTGTTTAAAAGAAATGGGAGGAGATGTTTTATTGTGCTGTCTCTTCAACTAAAAACACATAAAGTGACCCAACACTGACTATTTTACTTGTTGTTCCTTATATAGCTAGTAGCACAGTAGTAGCACTGCTTCTGCTATTTGAATTGTAGATTAGCATTGAATAATGTATGATGATCTCTTCATCTTTATGATAATTTTTTTTGTCTCTTAAGATAAATGTGGACTTACAGTAAATCTCAAACAACCTCATCTGTCTCTGTTCTTAGACTGAGGTAAATGTTGGAAATGGAATATGCAGAATGCAACAGAACCAATCACAGCGCCATCGTGTGGCTACAGGGGGTAAAGAGAACCCACTGAAAGTCTGGGATCTGGAGAGACCAGATAAGCCAATATTCACAGCCAAAAATGTAAGGCATAAGAAAAAAAACTCAAACCTTTTCAACCCCACTAGTTTATTATTTTTGTGTTTCAAGCTCTTCCTTTTTTTTCTTTGATCAGGTAGCTCATGACTGGTTGGATATGCGAGTGCCCGTGTGGGTGAGAGACATTGGCTTTATCCCAGATTCAGATAAAATAGTCACATGCACTGGACACCATCAGGTTTGTCTTTACTCTGGCTTTATCCATGTGCGCTTGTCTACTGTAGTTTCCTACACTTTATCTACACTGGACACATTTATTCCATCTGGAATAAATTTATTTATTTTATAAATATCATATATCTGATTTTTTTTTGTTTACAGTGAATACCTGAGTTTATGTACACTATCATTCAAAAGTTTGTTGTCAGTAAGGTTTTTTTTTTTTTTTTTTACATTTTCTTGAAAGTCTCTTATGCTCACCAACTGAATTCAACTGAATTCTGGGTGTTCTGGCTTAGATTTAATAGTTACGAAAGATTCTGAAATATATTGTGAGCTGATCATCTTTTTCAGCTTGTCCCTAACCCTTTGCTATTGTATTTATTTATGTCTTCCTTTGTGTTTTAAGGTAAGCATCTGTGATCAAACATGACTCAAAATATCTTGCCCTCTCTGTTCTGCTCCTCCTCCGTCAGGTGCGTGTGTATGACCCCTCGTCGCCTCAGAGAAGGCCAGTGTTGGAGGCTCGGTTTGGAGAGTACCCGCTCACAGCACTCTCTCTTCCTGCCAACCAGGGCACAGTGGTCGTGGGCAACACTCACG